GCACTAGTGTGGTTCTATGTGCCTTGTCAGCTGCCATGTCTCCCAGGTAGTGAGCGTGTGTCCCACCTCAAGCAAGCTATTTATCTCCTTAGCACCTCCAAATGAGGTCATCAAACTGCAATCTGATTAGCAGGCTAAACTCCACCCTTGACTCTTAAGCCTCAAATTGACAACAGATCATGTAACTACCACACCACCCTAATTCCTTTGCTCTCTGAAGTCTGAGTATTTCTGTTACAAATGGAGGGAGGCTAACATGAGCTTTATCAGGACTATTTGTGGATTTGATTCATGTTTAGTTTTAGAATTTGGGGCACTTTGAACTTAGTTTGTCAATATACATGAATTGAAATCAATAAAACATACACAGATACTTCAATAAAATAGCAATTGTCTCTTCCTGCTGTAACCATCGCTGCCTTCTCCCCAGACTGACTGATATGACTCAGTACTCTGCATCTTTCTCTAATGCCCATCAACTGTGCACGAATATCACTGGCTGCCCAGAATAGTATTTTAGAGACGCTGGCTTTTGTACAAAAAGGTGTTTCAAACAATACATCCACTATTAGAGTTTGCTGGTATCTTACAAGTCGAGTATGGATGTCCCTTCAACTCCATGGTCATTTGGTTTGCAATGGTTTCATGAACTCATGTCATTTGTTAGCAGCACCGGTTTTCAGTCACGGAATTGTTTCCTTTCCCTTTTGGTGACTGACTCTCAGCAATGGCTTAATAAGTACCTTCATCCACATAAATGTACAATCCCGCTTCTGTTGATATCCCCATATTCTTAGAATGGGGATAGCTAGATCAAAGAATATATGTACTGTAGTGTATGTGGATCTTGACAGATAACTTTCTCTAAAATATTGTGCCAAAGTATGCATCTCCCAATACGTCTCAATATCCTTGATAGCACTATACATTTATGATATGTCTGAATTGAAAACGCAAAGCTCTTTTCTATGCAGTGCATGTGATAAGCACATATATTTTTCCATCTATACCCATGAGGGATTTTTATTTTACTCGTTTTCTCATTAGAATTACGTCATTTGGTCAGCGGGAATATTTCCATCCTTTGTCTGGATCCTATTTCGTTGGGTTTGAAGCCCCATTAGAGCTGCACACAAGCCTGATAAGTGCCACATGTGTCACCCAAATGTGCCAGAGGATGGGCCTGAGCAACCAGTGCAGGAGGACGCACAGGCTTGGGTGCCAGTCCCTGAGGGTGGCTTCAGGAAGGTACTTCTTCCCACTCAGCTTGGTTTTCATCTGGAAAAGGAAGGTCAGACTAGAGAAGCTCAGAAGTTGTCTAAGACAGTTGTGACTTCATGTGGAAAGTTGGGGTTTGGTTTGTTGGGGAGGACTGGTGGCTTAGTGAAATTAAGATATCGATATCTCTGCGGTAAAATTTTGAAAGAACTGTTAACCAGAGCTCTTTCTAACACATCCTGACTGATGCTAGAAGTTCAAATATACATCCATACACATGCATGCATATACCCACACGCCCATCCAGACCCTGAACCCCAAACAAAGCAGGGAGGTGCAAAGGAGACCAGCAGGCCGGCAGCTGCTCCCTTGGCCTGGCTTTCTGTGACCACTCTGTGTCCTCGGGCAACTGCTTCCCTGTCCTCATCTCGCTTTTCCAATCTGAACTATGAGGGTTCCGATCAAATTGCTTTCCTCTCCTCACTTTGTGGGCACCGATTTGTGCCCATAGCCATTCTCTTTGCCCTGTGCTCGGGGGGTTGACGGCACCCCTGCGTGACTGTAGTAGCGATATTATCCTCTGTAGGGAGCCGATCCTGCCCCTGAAATTTTGGAATCGCACTGCCTTGAATATTTCCTTCTACTTATTGATGGTGATTTGGGGGAGAGTTTACAGAACACATTCGTTTCACATCCAGACATTCGCATGCACTTTGTTTCCCGACACTAGCTGTGAGCCTCAGTGTGACAGCGTTCTTCCCGCTTCTTCCCTCCGTCCCTGTTTCCGTTCACCCACCTCTCCTGCCCTCCCACCTTCTGGATTTTTATTTTCAGCCAATGCCATGCCTTGGGGCGTGTCTGGTCTATTGTTATGAGGAGTATATACTTTACGGGTATTATTATAAAATTTATAGGATCACCTATTGTTTGGCTGAACTCTCAGGAGTGGGTTCGGATGACAGTTTGAAGAATTTGTCAAACTGGTCCACAGTCTGGGGGTTCCAACAGCCTCTATCAGACCAATAGGCCTAGTTTTATTATTATTATTATTTTGAATTTTATTCTACATTTTCTCTTACTTTTTCCAGGGTTTTCTTCTGGGTTCCTGGCCAGAGCAGTAGATGGTAATGGTGGGGGGGGGGGGGTGCCATCTAGTCTTCTAGATGAACTAGAAGTTCATAGAGTTCTCCATGGAGTGGAGGCTGTGGTTTGGGATGGTTCATTCGTCCTTTGGACTAATTGTTTCCTGAGCCTTTGATTTTCTTTATGCTTCTTTGATTCACACAGGGAGAGACTAGTCTTAATTTTATCTTCGTGGTCACCCCTGAGGTTTTTGACTTTATGCCAGTTGACCACAATGCTTCCGAGACTATGGTCGTAAGCCCCCAACCTCAGCGACTTAGGTGTTTGGTTATGGCTAAGACATTTTCATAACTTTCCCTCTTGTATGGACTCGTATACTCATTGTATATGTGTTAGTCTGGGTAGACTAGAGAAACAAATCCAGGGAGATTCATATGTGTATAAGAAAGGGGTTTATATATATGAGCAATTGTATATTGAAAAAACATCCCAGTCCAGCCCAGATCAAGTCCATAAGTCTGATATTAGGTCATGTGTCTGATACCAATCTACAAAGATCTCTTCAGACTCATGAAACACATGCAATGATGCTGAATGCAGGAAGATCACAGGCCAGTGAGTTGGAACTCTTGTGGATCCACTCTTGTAAGCATCTCGGCACTG